GGACTGCGGACTGCGGACTGCGGACTGCGGACTGCGGACTAGGACTGGGTATGAAACACAGACTTATGTATAAAACGCGGACTAAGCATTACGGACTGGGCATGAAACGCGCGCGGAGTCAGGTATAAAATAGGGACTGCGGACTAAATGTGGCCTCCCGAGTGCAGTTATGTTTTTCACTGACCGGTCGTAACTAATATTACACATTGCATGTAAAAACGAGAAGAAACCCTCTCGTATGCACGTGCTTTGCGATCAAATCATTTTTTTTTTTGCCCCTGCTGAAGGAAGACCAATTTCACGCCTACCTAACAGCTCAGGCACAAAATGCTTTCCCTAGAATTTTTTTTTTTTTTTTTATCATACCGAGCCTGCTTTGCGATCAATTTATTTGTTTTCGCCGCTGCTGAAGGGAGACCAATTTCAGGCCAACCTAACAGCTCAGGAACAAAATGCTGTCCCTAGAATTTTTGTTTTTTTAACATACCAAGCCTACCAAAACTCGAACGCACTCTTTAAACTACGATTACTACTAGTAATAATGACAATAATGATGGTGATGATGATAATGATGATAATAAAAGTAATTATATTAAAAAATTTTATTGCGCGACTTTTCATGTAATGATCAAGTGCGAAGCTAAAGCCTTAGAGAAAATTTGAAGTCATAGCCGGGGGTGGGGAGGGTAGTGAAAAGTGAAATTTCCCGTTTTTAGAGGGCAAAAATCGAGCAAAAACGTGGCGAAGAAACAATGATATTCCATGTTATGTTTCACTTTTCATAGAACGATCTCGTGTAGATTCCATCTAACGAATAAACAAGTTTCTGTCCTATGCACTTTGAGTCGTTTGTTGTTTTGTCGTGTTACACCACAGCGGGCCTTTTATTCCAACTGAAGTTGAAATGGCCGATGAATAGATAGCGGTCTAGATTTCCCATCTAGACCGGCATCTAGAGCGGTAACGTTTTGCGGTGAAAATGTTGCAAACTAAATCGCAAACATTGACTGTTCTCTTCTAACAATATTTATTTATACCAAAAAGCCTGATGAGAAAAAAAAATAAAGAAGACGAGCAAACTTTGGGAGATTTTAGTTCCGCTCTTCGCCGTTCGCAAGCAAAATGCCAGTTAACTACTAAGCAGTTACATTGAACGAATTAAATTGTTCTTGTTTGCCATATAATAAACATCATTATTTATTAACCGCGCTTAGTCGGTCTGTATGGGAGAATCTTGACCTCGGTCGTGTGTACAGACCTCACTGCATTCGGTCTGTACTCA